AATAATAATAATAATAATAATAATAAAATTCAAACAGTAAGGTAGTAACTTAAAATATTAGCAATTAAGATAAATAATTATAATTAAATAACAATATAATAATGATTATATTAAAATACTAATTTTTTAATGATAAAAATAGATGTTTTTACTGTTTTTAAAATAATTAAAAATCTACTTAATATTTTTAAATAAAAATAATTTTAAATTAAAGAGAATTCAATTCCGCTCGATTCGACATATTATGCTTGAAAACGGGGCAAAAATGGATTTTTTATGATTTTTTGAATGAAAAATAGGTTTAAAATTAATTTAAATTATATAAAATGGCGGCGGCCAATCCCGAGCTGACACGCGGCGACAGTAGTCAAAACCGCTGGCGGCGGCTTGGTGCTCCACGTGGTGGCAGCAGGTTGGCTTTCGCGATGCTGGAGGCGGCACAATCATGCCCGCCATCATTACGGGCTGATTGAAACCGCGTGGGGTGCATGCGGTTTTGGCTTAAATGAGTCAGTCAAGGCCCTGGGCCGTTCGATCCCCGCCTATCCGAATGGACGGCTGTGATCCCAGTGGACCGAGATCCTTATGCCTGAGATGGACGGCCATGATCGAGTTGGACCAAGATCTTCGCAACAGCCTATACTGTACGGTCAAAAAATGACTGCGGGATGACGCGATCTGGGCCGTGGATCGCAAGATCAACAGTCCAGAAAACGTCCTGTACATGCATGCGACGTAAGGAGCCTTAGAATGGGTTTTTTGGCAAATTCTCTTGATTGGGTTGACGAAATCGCACGAAATTTTAAAGGTATAATCTACTCATGAACAGAAACCATGGGGGACCGTCCGTTTGGCTTAGAAAGTGCTTTTCAAAAAGCTATTTAACCCTAAACATTGTGATCTATTCTAAAGGAGTTTGAGTGATCTAACCGTCCGATTTTCGCGTTCTTGGGCTCGTTGGATTCGTTGAAGCGGCAGGAGTATTTCTCTAGTTGACGTCGAACCCTGGTTCTCCTTGGATCGAGCGGAAATCAGCCCGGAAGGGACGTGGGGCTCGGTTTCGCTGGAGTTCTCATCGCCGGCGGGCCTAGGACGCCGAGATCTGGTCGGGGAAGATGGGGAAACTCTCCAAGAGTGCTCACACGAAATCTCAGAGGGTTTGGGAGCTTGGATCGGGAGAAAGAGCCAAAAAGAGTCTAAAAAAGGGTAAATTTTTTGTATTTAAAGAGCTTAACCCTCTCATCAACGGTGGGTATTTAATTTAACATCAAATAGGAGGGAAATTAATCAGATTAGGCCGTGGTTTTGAATTCAAAATGAAGGGAGTTAATTAGAGCATTGAATGAGCATTAAATTGGCTCTAAATAGGTGATAATGACCTATTAATGACTTGATTTGATCAAGTCAACATTTGACTTGGTCAAATCAGTCAATTAGGTCAATGAGATCAAAGGATTGAGCCACAAAAAGGGTTGGATTGATTTGAATTCAAATTGGGCTCTAAATGGGCTTAATGGGTCAATATGACCCATTAAGGCTTGGGTTGACCAAGTCAAAGTTTGACTTGGTCAACCTAGCCTATTTAGACCCTTTGAGTGTTTGGTCAAAAGAGAGGTCAACAGTGGGATCATGGTTCAAAATAAAAAATTGTAATTTAAGAGAAACATTTTTATTTTTGGAGTTGCAAACTAGTGAGTTGCTTTGATAACTAGTTGTGGTTTCTATTTCCATCCCGGGATACTATTGAGGTTTAAAAGGAGAAAAATGTAGTGCTAGGAAAAGGGTAAAAGCTTTGGATCATTAAAGTTACTAATATTTATATCTTCAGTCTGAATCTGCTTACATGCTTCTTATAGGCAAGCTATATAATAGATCCATTGTTTAGGTACTGGAGTTCTGAACGTTATATTTGTGCTTGTTAAATGCTTAACATTGAAGCAAACCAACTTTTTCTTCATTACTTTTTCATAAGTAATACTTTCTTTCACCCATTGTCAGTCATTACTATGTAGGACTTATGTTGTGGTCCATACTTAAAATTAATTACTTATCTTGCAAATTGTAAAATCTATGCAAGAATGTGGTACCTTCCCCAATATTTCCAGAAATTTAATGATATTTTGGGGCAGATTTCTTCAACAGCTTGAGCTGAGTTGTTCTCTGCAATGTTTAAAATTGCGTAATTGGGTATTGAGGTGTTTTTCGTTCGTGAGGCGAGGCGTAAGCCTCAAGGCGTTTTGAAGCATAAGTCTCAAAATCAAAAAATTGCATGAACATAAAATGATAAATTTTTTATATACTAATGAGCAAAAAATATAAAACATAAAAAAACACAAGTTATGAAGTGAAATCAAAATATACCAATAATAAGAATATGAAATATAGTTCAACTCAAATTCTATCTTTCCCAAATCACAGTATTCTTTTCAATACAAATTTTTATTGTAAGAGTAATTTTGAAGTTCTGCTTAATTTGAAAGTTTGTAAGTCGTTTGTATGAAAAGATACTGAGCGGTATCGAGCATGTACCTAACGGTACCGAGCATGTACCTAGTGGTACCGAGCATTGTTGTACTATGTGGTACTGAACATGTATCTAGCGATACCGAGCAGACAGACCAATTGTGGAATCTTATTAGGCTAGGTTTTTTTTTTTAATTTTAAGAGGCAGACGCCTCTAAAACATGAGGCAAGGCGCGTCTCAGTGAACATGAGGCGTACGCCTCAATGCTAGCTCTCATTGCGTAGGCTTTGAGACTTACAAGTCTGAAATTGCGCTGAGGCGCGCCTCTTATTGCTCAATTTTAAACCATGGTTCTCCGCGAAGCATCAAATTCCAACAAAATGTGATGTTCGTGGATCGAAACAGATAATAAATGATTAGTGTTAATCGATGCGTACAAGCCCATAAAAAATGGAAACTAGTCCATTTCATTAGTATGAAGTAATATTGATGCCAGAAAATTTGAGTTTGGTACTGCTTTATGCTAGATGGTAATTCCTTTGTGTGAATAATTATAGATGAATTCTTTAATTTTTGTTATTTGGAGCACTGTTCATCTTCTTGTTGATGAAGGTGCAACCTGTTTGGCAGATCAGTGCTACTTGTGTTTTCAACGGTTGATGTTCTGCGGAGCTTCAGGCTTTTGTCCCCAAGAGCTGGCTCTAATCCTAACTTAGGAATGCATAGAAGTATTTTCCATGTCATGTTTAAGCAGAATGTCCAAACTTCATAACAAAAACATCAAGCCTTTGTTCTACTATATGGGGTAGGCTAATGTCCAAACTTCATATGAAAAAAAAGAAAAAAATTCTGATGTCTCTTAAAGATTGATTTGCTTATTTGTTTGTGGGCTACAACGTATTGGCTATTTGCAATATCAGATTGCAACTTCAGATTGCAACTTCTGTCTCTTGGGGTCTAATTATGCCCTATTTGCAATATCATCATTGGCTAAGTCAAGCTCAATTAGTGCAGAATAGGAGAGCCGAACCGGCTCGCAAGCTGGCTCGAGCTCGACTCGTTTATAGGCTCGCGAGCCGAGCTTATTGAGCTCACGAGTCGAGTTCGAGCTCGTTTGATAAACGAGCTCGAGTTCGAGCTTGAACCGGATCAGCTCATGAGCTCGCGAGTCGACTCGAATAATTATTAAATATAAATATTAAAAAAAAAACAAAATGTTATGTAAATCCTATGTGTATTTCAAAGTTACCGTGCATTAAACCCAAATTTCTCAAATCCCGCGTATTTCAAAGTTCCCTCCCTCTCTCTCGCTCTATTTCTCTCTCTCTCTCTCTCTCTCTAGCTCTTCTCTCTGACAGACAGCGGTGAGTGCTCCAAAGCCAATAAATGATGCTGTAAAGTGTTATAGACAGCTAAATATAAATGTATATTATTCATTCATTCGTCTCTCTCTCTCTCTCTCTCTCTCTCTCTCTCTCTCTCTCTCTCTCTCTCTCTCTCGTTTTAAAAGGCCTCGCGAGGCTCGAAGCCTCGAACTCGGTGAACCAGAAGGCGAAATGGACTGTGCCGGAGTTTGACAAGCCGCTCGACGAGGGGCTCGAACTCGCTTATAATGGGACGAGTCAAGCTTGAGCTCGACTTTTGAGCTTGACTCGAGTTCGAGCTCGGTATTTGACATTTGAGCTCAACTCGAACACCCACTGTCTCAAACTCGACTTGTTTGCACCCCTAGTGCGGAATGAGGCACTTCTTTCCTTGTTCATATTGCTTTAGAAGCTTGAAATATTTTACAACTGGCCATTACTTTGTCCGAATCATTCTTTGGAAGAATTAATCAGTCCCATTACATCAACTATTTTTCATTTTGATGCATACACAAATGCAAATTACCGTTAATTTTGATGTGGTCGCAAAGTGCTTTGTATCTTATTACTCTGCATCATTTTCTCCGCAACTTCTTCTTCACTTCGTCCATTCCTATTCCACTGACTTTTAAAAATGCAAAAATAAAAGGCAACTAAATAATAACCTCTAAATTACCCTCTTTGTAAGTACATAGTGAAATAAAGTTTTCCATCAATTCATTGGGATGAATTAACAGCTAAGGACTTCGGTTTTTTGAATTACAAATGGTGTCTTATAGTTTCGCAGAACCTTATTCAATAAATACCATGCCTCCTGAAATTAATTTGGAAGTTTTGCATGTCAGATGGAAATATGATTCTGATATTGTTTATACATTCATGAGCATGGTAACACTTCACATTTCAATCTCATGCCTTTTTGTCTTGCGTACAACATTTCAAATATCCTGTGTAGATTTTGCCCTGTATAATCTTCTTGTCAAGAGAAGTTACGAAATGGTGCGTCAATGTTGTGTATGAAGTCTCGTTTGCTTCCCGGTATTTGAGATGGTATCCCCTATGGCTGTTAATAGCCTAGTTCAAGTGATTTCAGTTCGACTCAAACTTTGCTTGAAATTGAACTTATTTCATTCAAACAAGCTTGATTCAAATTGAGTGGGTTTGAAATCGATTTAGAATTGACTTAAAATTATAATGAAAATAGGTTTTGAAAGGAGGGATTGAAACCACGCCCTCTTAAAAGCATCATATAAACGTTTACCAATGAACCAACTAATGGTTCATTTGTACTATATATTAACTTTGTATAATCAATATGATTTTGAGCCACCTTAAATTAAATTTCATCTAGCAATTGTACAATTGAAATCTGTTTGAATTGAATTTCAAGCCAGCAGCTTAGGCTCGAAGCTAAACTAGATTTTGTTGGAGTTCGTTTTTAATTCTACTAATTGTCGAGCCATTTTTAAGTTTTTGGTTTTTTTATCAGCCTGGCCATGCATTGGGACTGCATTGATATAATTAATTTTTGTCCATTCTACTGTATGCCAATCTATTGGTCTAGTGCTTGTTTGAGGTATCTTTAGTTTTTACTTTATTAAGCTTTTTAATCCTTTTTATATTAATTTTTAGAGATTTACCTCTTTAATCCCAGTTTGTAACCGTGAATAATTAACATTCAGCTCATAATGAAGTTCAATGATTTTGCAGATTGCCTTGCTTGGTCATTAATTAGTTGTAAACAGCTAGTGGACCGATAGTGCCCACTGCTTGTTGTAAAACTTGTATATCTCAAATTTTCTTATTTCTTATGTACTTGTTCATGCAGCCTGGGGTTGCACTTAAGCATGCTAAGGAAGGAACTGAGAGCTCTGCTTTCTGGTTTGCTCTTGGAGGAAAACAAAGTTTTTCCAGCAAAAGAGTTATGCCCGATATTATTAGAGATCCTCATTTATTTACCTTTTCATTCAACCAGGGTAAGCTCATCTCTTGGTTATATTCGTTAATACCCTTTCAATCTTGCTGCCTGGATTAAATCATAATGGTCTCTAAGATTTTTCTTGCACTTAATGGCTTCATCTTCATTTATGCTTGTGTGAGGACTTTCCAGGAAAAATAGAGGTTGGCTTATTTTCCTTATGTTTATTTAGCTTCCTGTGCAAAATACCTATCCTTAATGTTGTGGTGCACCTTGCTTCCCCTCTTGTAGGTCACCGAAGTGTTCAACTTCTCACAAGATGATCTGCTCACAGAGGATATACTGATACTTTGCACCCATGTTGAAGTCTTTGTTTGGATTGGTAATTCTGTTGAATCCAAGGAAAAACAAAAAGCATTTGACATAGGCCAGGTCTTTACCTTACGTGACTCATTTTTTAAAGATATATGGCAGTGACACTCTTCTATAATATTCATTTAATAGCTTTTTTTTTTTCAGAAATACATAGATCTTGCAGTGTGCTTAGATGGGCTAGCCCCAGATGTTCCCCTTTACAAAGTCACGGAGGGTAATGAGCCGTGCTTCTTCACAACATATTTCTCCTGGGATAGCACAAAGGCTGCTGTATGTTTTGCAAACCTTACACTCCAATTTTCTTCCTTCAGAGAGAATCTATTGCATTGTTGTTCTTTGATTAAGTTATTAGCTGGTTTTTGCTGACATCTACAGTCTTTAGTACGTGCAACATTTTTTTTTTTCAAATTAGTAGAGTACTAGAGCATTTCAATGGAGAATTAAAATGTCAAATAAATTGGTAACATGAAGGGACCAGAACTTATAGTGGAAACTTTAATATATTGTTTATGATTTTTCCTTTTGTCTTCATTAACGCTGTTAATATAATTCTGTCATTAATATATTTGTTTTACATCTTACTTGTTGGGCTTTCAGAACAGATCTTCAAAATTGATTGAATTGGAGGCTTTAAGCTCTTGCTTTTGAAAAGGGCCGCATCTTATGTATTAGCTCTTAATAGCACTGCTACATTACTCAGAGTTTTGATGCCTATATTTAAATATGATGTTTGTATCAACTGTAAATTGGACTTCGGTTCCATCAACTTCTGTATTCCCAGAGACTTACCAACTTTGGATTTGCACTGTAGAACTAAAATATTCAATTAATACATGCCTTGCATCAAAGAATGGCAAGTGATTAATAACTTCTTATATTTTCTTTGCGGTAAGAAGTTCCTTTATTTTCTTCTTTCATGTTGATGTGCTATTTTAGGTCTTTACTTTCCCATGCTCTGTCTATGTTGCAGTGGATTTTTAATTCCTTTCTGATGTGAAATAGGCTCATGGGAATTCTTTTGAGAAGAAGCTTGCGGTGCTGTTTGGAACCGTTTTTCATGCTTCAGAGGTAAGTTTTCTTCTTGGAAGATAACTTTATTCTTAAAATACTGTAATATATTACATAAATTTCCAATCATTTAATCATGTTGTTTCATAATAAAAATGAACCATTCCAAACTTGATCAAGAAGTTACAAGGTGATTTTTAATCTAAGTGAAAAAGTTATTGGGGGATTCCTTTGAACCTTTATCTAGTTATCAAAGGCAGTCAGTCATCTTCTTTAACTAGCTGATTTATGTTTCTCTATGTCCACATAGAGTAATGTGACAACCTATTGTATATCTAGAGTGGGCTTGCTTCATGTATTAATATAGTGAAATATTTTCTTTCGTACAGTCATTGTTTAAAATTGCACAATATGAAACTCGTCTCAGTACAATTCCAGTAAAAAAATACCTCGAGGCTTATGCCTCGAGCTTTTCTTATGAGGCTTACGCCTTAGTTTGGCTGAGGCTTGTTGTGAGGCACCTCGCTTTACTAGCATGAGGCGTACGCCTCACCTAATTTATATATTTTTATTAAAACTTACCTAAATCCTAAATTAAAGCCCTGAAAAAATCATGTCTTCGTGGGCCCCCAAGCCGCAACAACTTACTTTCAACCACTCGACCTCTAGCCCACCACCTTTGTCGTAACCGTCACCATGATAGCCACTGTCAGGAATTACTTGAAAGCTGTGTTTGGGAGAGAAGATCCTCCTCTCGAAAGAGAATCAATTGTATCCTGCTTCTTGTTATTTGATTTTCTAGAAATAAAAATATGCTTTTTTGTCGAATCCCGTTGATTTGATTGCTGTTTTTGATAAAGAAAGCAAGGCGCATCAAAAGTCTAATTATTCATAGGAGCTTGCATCTATGGGAAATCTGAACTTAGATCTTAAATTCATTACAAATGAGGGCAAACTCTCTAAGTAGTGTTTTATCTTTAACTAATCTGCCTTCTAAAAATTTGACTGTGAACATAATCTATTGAAACTCTCCTATAATCATGCGGAGAGGCCATGGCGCCAATTTTTTGGAGCCCACAATATATATATATATATATATATATATAATTAGAAAAATGATTATATTAGAAAAATATTAATTAGAGATGTGCATTTATATCCCTATAGTTGTGAATATTCCTCATTTATTTATGTATATAAGAATGTTTTTAATGTGCATGTATGTTGTAGATGTGTGAACACATAAATTTGTATGTATGCACAGATTGAGTTGATTTTGACTTGAATCTAACTTATGTCTAGTCAAAGCAAATTGATTTTTGATTTAGAGTCCATTAAATTTTATTAGTATCTAGGTGAAAAAGTTGGAGAAGCACTAGTGGCAAATAAGATTAGAGAGAGTCAACTTAGATGATTTTTTCACATAAAACGTCGACCTTCTTATGACGTGGTTAGGATAGTAGATGTATTACATTTGGCTTATGTTAAGAAAGGTAGAGTTGGATCTAAAAAATCTTGGTTAGAAATTATTAGAAATGACATTCTTATTAGATTAAAATGAGAATTTGACTCTTTATAGGATGCAATGGAGAAAAAAGATTCGTATAGTCGACCCCACGTAGTGAGATAGAAGTTTGATATTGTTGTAGCAAGTTTCGCACGTCGTTATGAGACCTGGATATGTATGGTCATCACTTTCAAAAACATGCAAAAAAAAAAAATGCAAAAATTAAGCATGCTTTATAACAACGCATGAATTTGTATATTGCACGTCTTCTTTATCTTAAACCTCGGCATAATGTTAAAAGCACCCTTTGTTGTTATGATGATCACCTTTGTATTCAAATCCTCCACAGAAAACTGCAATAGGTCCTTTTTTGTTTTCTTTTGCATGTGTCTAAGCTTATGTTTTGAGCCAATCTAACTACAAGTGGGATATGACCGGACATTTTTTTCACTGCTGCAGTCCAACGAGAAATCCAACAATACAAATCAAAGTGGACCCACTCAGAGGGCATCAGCTTTAGCGGCACTATCTTCTGCTTTTAATCCTTCTTCGAGATCTAGAGATACAGGACCCAAGCAAGTCCGTTCAAGTAAGGGTGGTTCACAAAGAGCAGCTGCAGTTGCTGCTTTGTCATCTGTTCTAACAGCTGAACAAAAGAAAGCACAATCTGAAGGTTCTACAGGTCGAAAAAGCAGAACCTCCTCCCCTGATTCAACTTCTGCTGGTAAGGTGGTCATTATTTTTTCTGGTTGCTGTGCTGATTGAGTATTTATATGTTGCACCTGTTCAAACCCCCTACTCGCGGTCCTGTCCCACATAATAGCATCCGTATTTGATTTGTAAAGCTGTATTTCTATTTGTTAGGTTTCGTTTGGGACGGCTTTCTTACTGCTTCTTAAAACAGCTTTTTAATATAAAAATTTTAATTTTTAAACTAGAAAGTTATTTTAAGAAACAATAAAAAAGCTGTCCCAAACGAAGCCCTAGTTGCACATTTACAGTGTAATGACTTGATATGCATTTCTGTAGCTTTATGAATATAGATCTGCATATTAGACAACAGCACATTGTTATCGTTGTTATCCTCTCTATAGCTTTTTCCAACGACATCACTAAAAGGTTGACTTATGTTTTTTTTTTTTTCCTTTAATTTATTGGCTAATCTTTTAGTTTCGCAACCATCTATCATATGGTTAATATTTTGTTCCTCGTATATTCATAAATTATTTCTCTTTACGAACAAAATTTCTGCTTCTTACCTTATATTAAGGCTTCGTTTGGGATGATTTTCTTTATGTTTCTTAAAGCAGCTTTTTAGTACAAGATTAAAAATTTTTGTACTAGAAAGCTGCTTTAAGAAGCAGAAAGAAAGCCATCTCAAATGAAGCCTAGATGAGAACTAAGATCTTAAGCTTTGGATTGGTGGAAATTACATTTCTCAATGGCGATTCTTTTTCACTATTTATTTATTTTTTTATTTTTAACAATAGAATCATTGAAGATGGAGACTCCGAGTTCTGAGACAGAGGATCCTGTTGAAGTTTCACCATTAAAGGAGCTTGAAGTGGATGTATTTGTATCAAAGAGCAATGGCGCCGTCGCGGAAGGTAACCAGGACTCATATGTAGAAGATAACAATGGTGAGAAAACCTTTAGTTATGAAAGACTTAAAGCCAAGTCCAGCAATCCAGTTACTGGCATTGACTACAAGCAGAGAGAGGTGCGTGCCTTTTAAGGCTTTATCAAATTTGTTCTTGCTATGATCTTGCAAATTAATTGAGATTTTGCCATCCTTTTCACCAGGCTTACTTATCCAATGAAGAATTCCAGACTGTTCTTGGAATGACAAAAGATGCATTTTATAGGCAGCCAAAGTGGAAGCAAGACATGCAAAAACGAAAGGTTGATCTCTTCTAGGCTTAAAATATTTCAGTGGTGAAGTTCAATTGTTTTTATATTTTTTTCTTGATTATTCTCTTTCTCACTTTCTGCTTATTTGAGGGGTTGAGATATATGCTTATTTTGATGATTACTACTGCTAGTTTGCTGGGGTGATTTTTGCAGCGCTACAGGCATTCTTTCATTTGTAAAGAAGGATCATTGGTGTTTGGGGTGCTCAGGGTTCTGGGCTTTAGCCCGTTTGTTATTATGAAGGGCCCATATGTGTATATTTTGGGTTTCATGCATATGGGCTGTCTGTGTTGTAAGCCAGCATATACATATTGTGTGCTGCATTTAAAACTACAATGTAATGCTGTTTAAATTATTGCCAGCCATTTGCTTCGTGCAATTACATCTCTGGTTGAGTTTTGTTTATCAGCAGTTCTGAATCACGTTTCTAATGTTTCACTTTGCGAGCGTATCGTGGCGATGGTTAACCGTACAAGAATCAACTGACAACAGATTTGTTTCGTTTGGGACGGCCTTTTTATTGTTCTTTAAAGTAGGATTTTAGTACAAAAAATTTAATTTTTGTATTAAAAAGCTGCTTTAAGCAGTAAGAAAGCCATCTCAAATGAAACCAAAATCTCATTTTGTTCCGTCTGAATAATGTAGTCTGTGAGAGAATTTGTGATCTAAATTGTTGATAATTTTTATATCATTTTAGTTGTTAGTATGGCTGATTTAGGTCTTATTTGAAATAATTTTCTTACTTCTTAAAGTATTTTTTTTAAAAAAAAATTATCTTAAGTAGCAGTAAGAAAGTCACCTCAAAAGAATCCTTAAGCAGAACTATATTATTATAGGATTTTGCAAACACCAACTGTCCTGGTAGTGGAGAAAGAAAAAGTTAGAGATACGAAGAACGAATGAAAACCGTCTTTAATATCATTTTACAGCATTTAGTACAGTTTTGTATGTGGATCACTAACGTAAACCTCATGCATACTAGTCCATTGGTCATGAAATAGCTTAGGTAGTGAATTTGCGGATCCACAACAGTAATTTTTTATTAATATGTTCAATATTTTTATTAATATGTTCAGCAGATAATTAAGAATTCTAAACACTTACGTTCATGATAAGAAATTTTATGTGTGTTTTGATTTTGACAAGCTTCTATATCCTTGAATGTAATTTTGGTAGCTTGATTATCACAATTTATTCACCGCAATTTATTTTTTAGTCTTCGTTATAAAGGTTTTTAGATAATTGCCCCTAACATAATTAAACACATTGTATATAGGTGTTATTGTTAGAGAACGATGAACCAAATAAAAAAAGAAATAGTAAAAACAATCCAAATACAAAAAAAAAAATAGGTTGAACCTCACGATGGGGCGTTGTACCCTTAGACCGCCGACATATCTGCGAAGTGTACAAAAATCAAGGATATAAACAAACACGGGTCGAGCCAAATTATATACTTTTACTTATAAGTTTGTCCCTCATGAAAACTAAGGCTGGTTCCCCCTGGTTGGAGTTTACCAATAAAGACTTGCTATAATAAAGAAAGAATAGGTAATTGTTAGCTTTGAAATATCAACTTCAATTAAACTAAGTGCAGGCTTAACATAAAAAATGGAGTGCTACTTATTTTTACGTAGGTATGATCCTTGCTAAAAGAGCAATGATACATATATGGATGAAGGGTATTGAGATCATGAAGTCTTCACCCTCTCCAACAACTTCAATGAAGCTTGAGGAGCTAAAAAATAAGGAGTAATTGTAGCCCTAGATGCTCTAAAAGTGGAATGAGAAACCATAAGAGAAGTAAAGATCACCTAAACCAATAAAATTAAAATATTAGTCCCACAGCAAGAAGTGAGATGTCCATAACTTAAGGGGTAACTAATGATATGGGTGGTGAGGATCATGTCAGAAGCAAGGTAGGGAGCTAAACCACATAAAGGATCAAACTAATAAGGCTAAATGAAGCAAAGATGCTTAACTTGATCGACAAGTGAAGAAAGTAAATAGGATTGGTGAGTGGAATCAATAGGGATGATATCCATGATGTAGGCAATGGGCTTAAATCATAGGTTATGTACATGATATCAATGCTATTAGACTACAATGATTGAGATGGAACCCTTGAAAGGGATCGTTGGCAGATGATAAGGATCTTGGTTACTGGAACAAACCTGACACAATATGGCACCACAAGTAGCAGATGATACTGTGGGTCTCCGAAAGGGATTCTGCTCGTGTGGTTCGAATGCAAAGGGTACGATCACACAATCCCGAAGGACAAAATGGTCGTAGACCTTTACGATCGACACAAGCAGGCCGATGGAAGAGCAGATGGAGTTATAGATACGATTAGCCATGGAGGATAGCAGGTTTTCACCCACCAAACTCGATGGATAATAATATCTATAACCCTAAATTCACGAGATTTCACCTATTCAATACATCAGCTCGAATAGGGTTTATTTGATTGTGGAATTCAGTTTTCTACACGGCGCGACCCCCGAAGTTTAATTACATCTTAGACCCGCTGTCTATAGAAGACTCTCGATTAAAGATGTTAGATTTATCTCCTCTAATGGTTTTAGTGCCGGGATTCTAGCTTCCTAATCAAAGGGGAATGCCCAACTTGGCTCGATCATCACGGCGTGGTCTGTCAACATCCGTCGGCTTAAAGAAGAGAAAACTGAGAAAAAGATAAGGACACAACGCTGTTTTAACATGCACGAGAGAAAGAAGGAGTGGCGTCATCTATGTGACCGGATGGGTAGGATTTATACCTCTAGAAAAGTAGAGAACTAACCCACAATAGATGTGTAGGGGTACACTCGTACCCCTCACCTTCAGACCCTAAATCTATAAAGATGTAATGTCGTACACACGACACTAACATCTACGACCTAGCTAATCCAATCTGATTTATTCCTTGTCTGACAAGGAAGCCAGCTAAATCCACCTAATCGTATCAATCCATGCTGTCCAGTCTGTATGAAGAATGGGTGTATTAGACACTGATTTGGGATCGTAAACTAGAGAAATCCTAATTGATCCCACACTTAGAGTGGGTATGATGCTCTAAAACTAAAGCAATTAAATCTTAATTTTAATTGTTCTAAGCAATTATGCTGATTAGTCTCCAAATCAATATGAGTATGAATTTTAAAAGGCTTATAGAAAATAATTTTTGAATGACTAACTTCCCCAGAGTCGGCAGTCTTCATCCCTCATAGGCCAGATTACGCGGACTCTCCTCACAGGCGAGGAAGTTTGTCTAAAAGAGAGGCATGCATGCATTGCTCCCCGGCTGAAATTCCGGCTATCCTAGGAGTCGTTAATGTTTCTAATGTGAGTTAATTTAATTTTATTCTAATGATACGAGTAATTAAATTTTTAAATCCCTAACAGAGCCTAGCGTTCGACATCAAGCACATCGCAAGAAGAACCTATGAAACATGACCGGTTCTAACTGCGCAACAAGTAAGTAAATCAACACAGAAAAATCCCACGAAAAGAGTGTCCTGGCAAGTGCCATAAATTTAAATACAGAGTACAGTTAAGTAAAGGTGGCACGGGCTCCACCGACAACAACCGGAACAGACGTAAATCTTAAATAAGGCTTTTTATATTCTTCAGTCTTCTTCTCCTCTTCCTTGATCGTCCTTGGATCGTCTTCGTTCTTCCTTCTGCTTCTCGTAGTGACTCCCCCAAAGGTACCCAAATGAAAAGAAACCCCTGTGGTTTACTTTCCCTTTGGACTCCTTGTAGTGAGTGCTCCAAAAGGATATCCAAATGAAAAAGAAACCCCCTTGTGGGGTTTACTTTTCCCTTTGGATTCCTATCTCTTTAAAATGCCTTATTTTAACGATTTTCACAAAATCTACTATCAAATACATTACATATATGAAAATGAAAATCTAGACTCTCCTGCAGATTATCCTAGCAATTATAATAAAATTTCACCACATAGTATATATATAAAAAAATGCTGAATTATCACACTTGGCCGTGCTCTGATCATTAGGGCTAAGCAGCTGAAGCGGGTAACTAAAGCATTTATAAATGACTTATTAATTTTTAGCCCCCTTTTTAGCGCGGTATAGCACGGCCCATCGCTCAGGAAGACAGACTTAGTATAAAAACGTGCCTAACCTATGAGTATTCTAACGTCCAAACCCAGTGCAGAAAGAAACTAAAGAAAGCAGTACAAAAACGACACAGCAGAAAAGCTACACAGATACAAAAACAAAACACACGCACACGCGTCACATAACAGCGTCACAACAGAGATCAGAAAAGTAAAGCGAAACAACAGCCTAACCTAAAGCTAATAGTCGTGTCCTAGCAAATCATCTATGTGTGTGTTGGCTGTTGGTTTTGGTAGATCCTTTATAGGATGATTAGTTAAAGTTGTTTGTATTTTTTTTGTTTGTTGAAAAGGGCAAAGGAAATTTTAGTTAAAATTCAAATTTAATATTTTAAGGTTGATTTTAAAGTGATTTATTTTTAGTGTTTGATTAATTACCACCTTTGTTTCACACCGAGGCCGTGAGTTTTTTCACCCTCCTTGGGCGTAACTTAATAGCCTCGATGGCTGGGTACCCAGTAATAATTAACTTTGTTGAATTATTGTTTTAGTTGGTTATGAAAATAAAAAATGGATTAGGATAGTGTTTAATTTTAATTTCAAAATGGTTAATTATTTTTTTGGAGTTGTTCTAAGGTTTAATATTTAGAAGTGTATTATCCTAATGAATTTTAGATTATGATTCGATTTCCTAATTTAAATCTACATCTTTTAGATTTTAGGTGGATTTTAAAGTTAATTATTAATTGATTGAATTGATTTAGGTTTATGTTTTAAGTTATAATTAATAGTTACAAATGTTAAATAAAACTTACTTAGAGTTAAGTATTTTAATAGATTTTTTAAGAATATAGATTAAGAAAAATCAAAATAGAGAAGCGTGTCACTAGGTTTTTTTATTTTAATGTCTCTATCTCATAAGGAACATGCATCCTAAGTCTATGTTTTCTAAGACTCAATCCTTAGTTTTGTCTTAGGTGTCCGCTAGTTGTTGAGGATCAAAATAGTAGTGTTTTTCTATTCCTAAGACTTCTACATGGATGTCACAGGTTTTAGGGTTTAGAAAAAAATAAAAGCAACCCTAAATATAATTGAAGATTCTAAGGCCCTAAGGGTGGGAGGCGTACAAACCATCTAGGCCCCTAAGGTTTTCTAAGTTTTAGTAAACTTACAGCACTGGGGGCTACGACCCGCGTGGTTCCGCCCGTAGCGCCTCAACTAGTAGTGGACGACTGATGCTTGGATCCGATTGTCCTAGTTTCCCTCCCAAAATGCTCCAAAGCTCCTTGTCCATTGCGTTTCAAAAGTTACCTCGCAAGAC